TTGGAATAAAAAAAAAGTAACGTTATTTATACACTTATTTTTACTTCTCACATACCATTTTCAATTTCGTCTGTCAAATTGAATAAATTGAAGAAGATTAATGATAAAAAATTATTAAATATGTGTAAAAGGTAAAAATATGTATGTAAATAGCATTTTTTTTAAAATCGTTGTCACTTTCACACTCGATTAGAAATTAATATTAATTAACAACATTATTTAATTGTGGCAGCTTGCACAATCAATGATTGACCTGTTACTCTAGTGAGGTAAACTCTAAAGTAAGGGGCATTACTTATAATTGGCTAGTCTTGAGGGAAAACACTATTCTATGCACTCAAATTAAAGAAAAAAAAATGCACCCATATAAGTTTAAAAATGGATTAGAAAAAAAAAATGAATAGATTTTATATAATTTTACATATAACAAATTGGTATATTTAAGAATGATTACATTTTAAGATTAAAAATTTGAAAAAAATTACATGAATGCGTACATATGACACACCCCGACCCGGAATATCCACTAAGACCCCAAAATCGAGCTGTGTTGGCCGACACCTGGAAGGTGACGAAGCCATAAAGTGTGATAGTGTATAAAATGTGAATAAATTTGAACCTAAAAGTGTCTAAATACCAGAGTGCGCTATGAGTAGGAGCGAACCCATTTCACACGCGATGTTAGAGCATAAGTAAAGTGCAGTGGTGTGAGTAAGAATCATACCCTTAAAAGTAGACATTAATACTAAGATTAGCCATAGATCCTCGTCAATATGGACTTAGCAGTTATAACTTGGAGGGGTACAAAACAGAAAGTGTGAGTATGCAGTAAAACCAAGCTTCCCAAAACTATTACCTTTCTAACAGTAATAACCCTTCACTGTAAATCCCTTATCGTTTTCTATATAATAGTATTACATATATATATATATATATATATATATATATATCCACCCATGCTAAAAAAAATGGCCAAAACCATGGGTATGCCATGTCCATAGACTCTACAATGCATTAACAAGTAGGCCAAATGAACTTAATCGATATAAAATGATACATCAGCCGGAATCACCTAACGTGACCCGTACGACTGTACTCATATCATATCAATCAATGCTAGCATATAAGTCGGGAGTCACTTCTAGTGACCTGTACGACTTATCCATATCTCATCAATCATCCATGCACACGAGTCGGAACCACATCTAGTGGTCTGTACGACATAACTGAGTGTAAATAAGTACGCTCAAGTGTTATGATCACGTGAAGACTGGACGAATGATCCCGGATCACCTACGAGTCGGAACCATCTATAGTGGTCTGTACGACAGGCATGTGCACCTACCTCGAGTCCAAGGTGAGCATAAGGTTCGGAAAGTGAACATCACGTGAAGGATTGTGCCCTGACCACGGGCAGGAGCACTAATACTGGGGTGCAGGTATTTATATCTCATCAATCAATGCTAGTATACAAGTCAGGAGTCACCTATAGTGACCTATACGACTTAATCTATAGCTCATCAAACATCCATGCACAGGAGTCGGAACCACCTTTAGTGGTTTGTATGACAGGACTGAGTGTAATAAGTACGCTCAAGTGCTACGATCATGTGAAAACTGGGCGAATAATCACGGGTCACCTACAAGTCGGAACCACCTATAGTGGTCTGTACGACAGACATGTGCACCTACCTTGAGTCCAAGGTGAGTGTAAGGTACGGGAGGTGAACATCACGTGAAGGACTGTGCCCTGGCCATGGGCGGGAGCACTAATACCGGGGTGCAGGTTTATGAGCTCTCAATGCATCTCAATATAACATGTACAACTCATGGGCAAACAGTACGATAATATCGGAGTTGCTTAACACATAAATGTAGTCATGCTATAACTCCATCGATTCAACTAATACCATAAACTCACCTGAACTTACCTGGGTGTCATGCGTTCACCTTTGCACTTCAAAGCATTCACAATAATTATGTGCAAGTAATATACATATGGATATACTATGATGCAATCAAATACTCAACCATGTCGTAGCATTTTAAATTATATACAATACGGTGTAAAATGTACAATCAATAACGCCATACTCCCGAACTACTTATTTTCAGGGATAATTATCCGTGACAAGTTCAATTAACATTAATTTAACTAACTAATTCACAAAACTAAAACTTGCCTTTACCAATTTCCTTCACATTACTCAATTTCCTAAATCAGGCTTTTGTGTCAAATATATTATGGCTGCATCTAATGTCTCGTTAGACTGCCTACGTACCCTAAATAGGGATCAAGCCATTCATAGTTCATATAGTACTTCAAGCATTCACAATAATTATATGAAGGTAATATACGTAAATCAATTTAAAAGTGTCGATGTAACAATCAATAATATGTACGATAAAAGGAAAAGATCCATTCACCTGAAGTCCACGTTATGATTCTCTAGCGCACGCATCAAGGCATCTTGAATGATTGGCGCCTGCCACGAAGTCCAAAAGTGGATGAAAGATGGTCAATTTTGCTCACAAAGCCGGCGGGTGCCTAAAGCTTCCCGGTGTCGATTCAACTTCTACAGTGGTCCAACGGGGTCAAGGTTGGTTGGGTTTTGCTCCTGGGATGATGGGCTACAGAGCCTAAGTGGTGGCATCGGCCATTGCTTTACCGATTTGTCGGAAAATAAAAAAGAGTGGCCGGAGCACCGTTGATTTTCGTCGACTTTCATGACCTCCAACCGCCATATACCATGGTTAATCAAGGTGGTTCTTGGGTGAGTTTTGTAGAGGGGAATGAGAGCTTCAAGATGGTGGTGGTGGCGTCGAAAAACTCCACTGGAGTTGGCCGAAATCGGTCTTGGAAAATAGGAGCTTGCGGTGGGTGTGGGTCGATGGGAAGGCTACTTTCCTTTTTTTTTTTTTCTTTCTTTCCTCATTTCTGATTTGGCTTCACCCCACAAAGTGAGGATTTAATTTAATTAAAACTAAACCTTGAATAACCAATTTCGAACGTCCGTAACTATATCGTTATAATCCGGACTCGCAAACGGTTTTTGCCTATACGTTCGTACCAACGAGTACTACGAGAATATGCTAAAAGAATAAGTCCCACATCTGTCAAGCCGATGGTCAATGGAAGTCAAAGTCCTTGCCTATAGGGCAATTTCGTAAATTCACGCTTTTCAAATAAAATAAAAACGTAAAATTTAGAACGGGTTGTCACAACATATAAGATTAAAAAATTGAAAACATTTTTTCTTAAAAGCTAATGGGTACAAACTTATTCTAATTTTTCTTATTTATTTTGGAAATGTTTTGAATTGAAAATTAGTTAGGAGTTTAATAAAGGTGTGAGTATTAAAATTCTAAATTAATTATTAACTTTTATTTAAAAAAATTATGTAATTGAAATGTAAATTCATTATTACATTAATGTTAGGAACTTGGATCAAAATATGAAAATTAATAAAATTTTAGTCAATGAACATTAATAAATAGGGACCGGATACTAATTTTTTCTAAAATAAAAGTTCGTCACAAGCATGTACAACTTCATGTAATTGTTTAGGCACGAAAATACAGTTTGCTCGTTTACACGACCAACAGTGTTAAGTCCACCGAAGCTCCAACATGTTAATCAACCCTAGATAGTAGATTTCCTAATACAAATTTTTAATTCCTTTCGCCTCTCCTTAATAATTAGGGTTCTCTTTACTTTCCCACTTGGAATTAGGTTTTCCTTTTCGCAGAATAACCCGGAGAAGGTAATATGTAATAATTAATAACCTAATAAAAGCCCTAAGTTATGAAGGAATCCTACTACTTACAGGAAACTTCCAATTCCGAATATAATTAGGGTTTGTTTCCCAATGGGAGCCAATGGAAACCACTAGTAAAGGAAGCGAACACTTAGATTAAACATGTAAAATTTACTTGCCTCTGACAGGTACGAGTCGAACTTATTGTTCCATCTCTTGTAACTTGTTCTGATCAGCTGCCTTGCACTTTTGCGATAGAGGTGAAGCTGCCTGCATTTTTGAAATATCGAATTAAGTAGAGTACGTAGTAAGATGGTCATCCCTTGGAAATGAGTTTGATTGCATTAAGCATGTATTTAAAGTTAAAATAAGACAATTTCTTCGTCCCAGTGAATGCATCATTTGCTAATACCACAACGTAACTATCTCATGACGGTATAAGATCACAACATAAAAGCATGTACTTAAAGATCACATATAACATTATTTACTAGATTGACCAAAATGTCTCGTTCAATACAACTTCAAGTGACAAGATATGGAACCATCATACTTTGAAATGTTCTTCTATCCATCACTTAAAAGGCATGGGGGCATAGATGTTTTAAGTCCAGGTATATGTACCATCAGTACCGTATCTGTTCATAGCTGAACTTGATTGCGGTGTCGGGTGGTGTAATTGGTGTTGGGTTTGAAAGGTTTCAAACTTATCTACCTCTTCGTTCGTTCATACTTGTAACATTGTCTTGAATCTTCCTTACGATGATCCCAAGCTCCCAACTTCGAAATGCAATGCCTGATCATGGGGAATGTCAAGTAGAGTTTAGAACTCAACAGAAAAAAGCTGGTTAACAATTCGAAAATTCAACATTTGTTAAGTTACCAGAGCTTTGTAATCGTGAAAGAATATGTTTAGATTTTTACTAACCCATTCACACATCATCTATCAAGCTTTGACTCTTAAATCATAAATTCGGTTGGCTAAAAGGGGTGGTTTTGAGGTTTTATAGCTCCATAGATGACATTCAATTTATTTCTCAACACCATCACTTAAAGCTAGTGACGTTATCGATCACATATATCTAGTTTTCTGTCTCGAGACATTTTTAGGATAAACTTTTATTCCAAAATGCTAATTAACCCTAGATAGTAGATTTCCTAATACAGATGTTAATTCCTTTCCCCTCTCCTTAATAATTAGGGTTCTCTTTACTTTCCCACTTGGAATTAGGTTTTCCTTTTCACAGAATAACCCGGAGAAGGTAATATGTAATAATTAATAACCTAATATAAACCCTAAGTTATAAAGGAATCCTACTACTTACAGGAAACTATTTTAGATTCCAATTCCGAGTATAATTAGGGTTTGTTTCCCAGTGGGAGCCAATGGAAACTATATATAGAGGAGTTGATCAACTTTTCTTAGAAACAAGAGAAGCCAATGGAGTCGTCACTTGGAAAGTTGATTTCTAAATCTCTAAAGAGACCTGGCGATTTATTTTTCCCCACCCATGGCAGTGAACTGGCCCCTCCTGACCTGCAGACTAAAAAAATTCGCATGACTTACAAGGCAAGCATGGAGTACGGTGGACTTAAACTGACGGCTGATCGACAAAACCCCGCTGCCGACCACGATGAATCGTCCAATGCTCTTCCCCTTGATCCAAATCCTACTACTGCTAGGAGTCATTCAAGCACCCAAGGAGATCAAAACGCTGATTTGTTTTTGAGTCCATCTGCAACCCCCAATGCCAAGGCGCCGATTAATATTGCTGATGCCACTCCGGTTTTTTCTGCTCCTGGTTCGTCCCGTTCCCACGATCAGAGGTGTTTAACAACAACGCTGGATTTAGCCCGAAATTGGCCACGTCCCGTTTGGCATAGCCCATGGAAGATTTACAGGGTCATCAGTGGTCACCTAGGATGGGTTCGCTCTGTTGCTTTTGATCCAAGCAACAGATGGTTCTGTACAGGATCCGCAGACCGGACAATCAAAATATGGGACGTAGCAAGTGGGACGCTACAACTTTCTCTTACCGGACACATTGGGCAAATACGAAGCCTTGCCGTTAGCTCCAGGCAACCCTATTTGTTCTCGGCTGGCGATGACAAACAAGTCAAATGTTGGGACCTTGAACAGAACAAGGTTATCCGTTCGTATCACGGTCATCTTAGTGGCGTCTACAGCATGGCTCTCCATCCGACTCTTGACGTTTTAGTCACCGGGGGTCGGGATAGCGTATGCCGTGTTTGGGATGTTCGTCTCAAGAATGTGCAAGTTCATGCATTGACTGGACACGAAGATACAGTTTGCTCCCTTCTCACCCGCCCAACGGATCCACAAGTTATTAGCGGGTCTCACGATACAACTGTCAAGCTGTGGGACCTTAGAAAGGGAAAAACCTTTTCAACTTTAACGCATCATAAGAAATCGGTGCGAGCACTGACACATCATCCTAAGCTAGATCGGGGTAATTGCTTCGCATCGGCTTCAACAAACACCATCAAAAAGTTCAACCTTCCGAGGGGTGAGTTTTTGCACAACATGCTCTCCCAACAGAAGTCCATTATCAACGCGATGGCCGTCAATGAAGATGGAGTTATGGCTACAGGAGGCGACAACGGTAGCTTGTGGTTTTGGGATTGGAAGAGCGGCCACAACTTCCAGCAATCCCATACAATCGCACAACCAGGCTCGCTGGAGGGTGAAGCTGGGATTTATGCTCTTTGCTACGATGTCACTGGCACAAGGCTGGTTACTTGTGAAGCTGACAAGACAATCAAGATGTGGAAACAAGACGAAAAGGCCACCCTGGAAACTCATCCTCTAAATTTTAGGCCTCCTAATCTTAGAGACGTTGGGCGGTTCTAGCTCACGGTGTGCTTACTTTGTTACTACGATATTGAAGTTTACAACTTTTTTATAATGTTTATTTTGATTCTGCTTCATAATGTATGCGTTACTATCATGGCTTGAATTTTATATGCGTAATTCAATTGCTTAATTGTAGTTCAAAACTTGGTTTGTTCTCGTTGAAAAAGTAGCTCAAGATTGAGGTTTGAGGAAGCCGAAGGAAAGGAAGCGAACACTTAGATTAAACATGTAAAATTTACTTGCCTCTGACAGGTACGAGTCGAAATTGTTGTTCCATCTCTTGTAACTTGTTCTGATCAGCTGCCTTGCACTTTTGCGATAGAGGTGAAGCTGCCTGCATTTTTGAAATATCGAAGATCTTACGTAGTAAGATGATTTCCTTGGAAATGAGTTTGATTGCATTAAGCATGTATTTAAAGTTAAACTGAGACAATATCTTCATCCCAGTGAATGTATCATTTGCTAATACCACAACTAAAAGCCGCGATTAATATTATCTCATGGCGGTATAAGACCACAGCATAAAAGCATGTATTTAAAGATCACATATAACATTATTTACTACATTGACCAAATGTCTCGTTCAATACAACTTCATACACGAATTAGTCAAGTGACAAGATATGGAACCATCATACTTTGAAATGTTCTTCTATCCATCACTTAAAAAGGCATGGGGGCATAGCTGTTTTAAGTCCAGGTATATGTGCCATCAGTACCGTATCTGTTCATTGATTGCGGTGTCGAGCGGTGTCGGGTGGTGTAATTGGTGTTGGGTTTGAAAGGTTTCAAACTTCTCTACCTCTTCGTTCGTTCATACTTGTAATATTGTCTTGAATCTTCCTTATGATGATCCCCAAGCTCCCAACTTCAAAATGCAATGCTTGATCATGGGGAATGTCAAGTAGAGTTTAGAACTCAACAGAAAAAAGCTGGTTAACAATTCGAAAATTCCACATTTGTTAATCGTGAAAGAATATGTTTAGATTTTTACTAACCCATTCACACATCATCTATCAAGCATTGACTCTTAAATCCTAAATTCGGTTGGCTAAAAGGGAAATTAGTCATTCATAAAAGTCAAATTTAAAAACTCTTATTTATAAGTGAGCGAAAAAAGTTACTAGCACTGCCGTTAATATTTATATATATTAACATAAAAGAGAAGAAAATGACGACCTAAAGCAAATTCGACTATTTGGGTACAATGGTTTAATTAGTTTTAAATGCAAATTGGAAGGAGTACATCCATGGTTGCTCGATCTCAAAAGCAAATTGAAAAAAAGGCGGATGCAAGAAAAAACGAAGATAACAAATTTAAAAGCAAAACTAGTTACATATGTAAGACATGATCAATTTTACATGGTTGATATATAGATGAGCAGAACAAGAAGAATTACCATTAAATTTTGCACATCAAGTACTCCTTAGGGTTTTCAATGACCATCGTAATCATTTGAGCTTCCGTTGAGTTTCTGAAACTCTCAAATCTGCAGTTTTTTATTTATTTAATACATAGCTGCATTTTCTAGGGAACCATTTTTGAAAAATGGGTACCTACGAAAGTCAAGCACGGACGCGATGGCGTTTCAGGTTGGAGGGGGGTGTTGGGGACACTCCGGACTTGATCTCCATGGTGAGCATCTTGAGAGAAATTTTCCGCAGATAATCGGACTGGAAAAAAGATATTCACACACAACTCTGATTACAGCGCTATCGATCACAATACGTACCAATGAAGTTGAAAAATAAACATCTAGACATGCAATATTGGAATGCAACACAAAGAGATTTGAACTCCACAAATTCTGGAAGTACCTGGCTTGACGCAGCAACATATGTCTTTTCCTCAAACATTACAGCAAGATTCTCGAGTTCACGTAATCCCTCCTCGCCCTCGGAGAGAAGGTGCCTCTTCAACGTTTCAGTTCTTTGTATGCAATAGATTCAATAAGTTATTGACCATGAGTAAGGAATGCAGGTAGGTTACTCAACATAGAAATGTAAAATCATAGTGAATAAAGGACTGACCACATTGTCCAAAACGAAAAATATAGGGAAAATAAGCACGGATGGAACCCGTTACAAATTCCTAACAGAAAACAGAACTGGACTACTCTAGTTAAACAGACAATAAACAGTATATACACACACACACACATAAAATGTTTTAGTACCACTTTTATTCTATTTCCTGCGTCTCTCAAAGTTCAATTTCTGCATATGTTCGATACGTAAGAGGCTTAAATTTTTCTCCCCTTAATGCAGTCCATGATTTCTAGACTTTATTTTTCTCACATATGAAAGTTACTGATCTCGGGAACAATTCTGCGTGTTACAAATCTGGCAGTAATTGACAATTAAATAAGTTACTGACCATGATTAACAAGCAAAAGTTAAATCACAGTGAACAAAGGAGTCGACTAAAGGAAAACATGTACAAACATAAATTATCAAATTTCTAATAAAAATACATGTATTTTATTTGCAGTACTCCAGTGTCTCCTCGAGTTCCTTTTTCGATTAAATGTTTTTAACGGATTTTTTTATTGTGTATATTTCCAAAAATCTACACAAGGTTTCAATTCAGCCAAAAGGCAGTACACAGATGATCAATATTCCCTTTCTTCTTCAAACAATACTTACATCTTGCGGACAATTCTACGTCGTGAATCTGGATGCACTTGGCTTCTCCAATCACCTGCCTCCATTGAAGGTTCTCCACCTTGAGCAGGTCTCTGGTTATTGATGTCCATCAAAACTGACCAACCACACACACCATCAGACTTGGAAACAAAATTGAACTGGAAAACCCAAGTCTAAGAACATAACAAGTCAACTATTAATCAACCTGAAAAGTGGATTAATTGGATACAAAGAAAAGAATCTAATACATACATATGAGAGGGAAGTTGGTGTTCTTACCTTGATCAAGAGATGCTGTGATAAAGACTGCTTAGAGGAGAAGAGTTGCAGACTGATGCAAAGAAATTAAGCTAAATGACCAAAGGGAACACAAGGGTTGCTTTAGGTGAAGAAAAAAGAAAGTGGGGTGTGAATCAATCTTGTTTTTTCTTTTTCTTTTTTTTTTTTCAGTTGGTGGACGGTGACTCATAGTTTTATTTTATTTTTCACAGTTGGTGGATCACTCATTTGTGGAATGGGTAATTCAAATTTCTACTTTCTCTATTTTTCAGTTATATTGGAAGGTTTCGAAGCTGGATATAGCATAGTCATATCCGTCAGTCAACCCATCCATACAACTGGAAGAAAGCCACGTGCAAAAGTAATGTAACTGGAAGAAAATGACAAAAACAGACTTACCCGAGTGCCAAAGCTCCTGACCAATGCAGGAGAAAGCCAAGGAATGGCGGTTGAGTTATTGAAATCCACTTGAAAAGTATGACTCCTGGTGGATCCAACCATGCCATGAGAGCCAGCAAGAAGAATATCGCGACGGGGGTTGCCTTCCACATCAGCCTACACTTCCACATCAGAAATTGTAATTTTCATAGGGTGTATTATTTGACTGATTCTCTTCGTTGATCATGTTTAAGGAGGAAGTAATTTGGGGGAGAATTCTTAAGCGAGCGCAGTCCAATTGCCTTGCTGCTGAAGAGTAGACCATAAGATTATGTATATGGCACTTGGAACTAAATCTGTTATACAGTGTATAAATTCAAAACTGAGAACCAAAACCAAAAATAATGTAAATCGATGATCGAAAGAATGAATAATAGTTACAAAGAGTTCACTTATTGATCCTGGAGACATTTCTCTAGGTACTGATTTTCCCTCCTGATGGCATCAAGATCGGCTTGTAGTTTGTCTACATTTAAGCTTCGCGAGGCCATGGCCGCTAGCTTCTTTTCATGTTCACCTACTTCTCGTCGTATTCTATCAGTTGCCAAGATTTTCTCACGAATCTGTTCGAAGCACTTGTGGATGCTAGTGAGAAGCCTATAAGCCTGCTTCCCAACTGCATCTTTCTTTGCTTCCCTTCAAATTAATAAGTACCGTGATGGACTTGTCGTAACTACGTATTTTTAAGTCACGGACAGTTTATGGTAAATGAATTTCGTACCTGAACACCATTTCATCTACAACAGCATACGTCCGATGAAGACGTTCTTGAATAGAGTTACTCTCTAACTGAAGCTCCCTGGTGTCTTTAAGATCTGCTCTATGTCAGCTTCTTGTTTCCGACTGTTCTTTGTGATCTCCTTGACCCTTTCAATGTAGGACTTTCTTGATGCCAGCTTGGGCTGCTTCTCTAGATCCGTTGACAGTTTAGAAAGCTCCTCCTCCCTACAGAATCATAAATGCGTCACCAATAAGCAAGCAACCGAAGTTGTGAAATTGAATATTAGTAAGATAATGAAACAGACAATGGGCAATCTTTGATCACAATTTATACAAGAAAGTATTCTATATCCCCTCCATCGTGTACCTTTAATAACAAAATATGTTACTTTCTAAAAACTGAAGATTCCCAAACTATATCACCAACCAAAGAAGTTTCGAAGACAGCAGGAGCATAGACAATATGACCTAGAAATTGCATTTATTTAATTTTAAGAAACGTACCTTTTTCGAATTTCAAATAAGATGGATTCTCTTTCCAGTTCATAATCTTTCAGCTCACGGAGCTTTTCCTGAGTATATGGGTTATTTGCATATACAGACACCTGAAGACTTTCCTTTTTTGCTTCCGAGGGCTTTCTGACTGCTTCCCTGAGAAAAATCATTGGTAACAGATGAAACAATACATACATATATGCTGGCAAAGGTAGCACCGTTTGCAATATTTATATCTAGCGCATGAAGACACGAGTCGTTAAAGTTTGTTATTATAAAGGTATATATTAGTCCGATATACAACTAACTTAATCGTCATGAACAATTAAATAAAGATTTACATCTCACCACTGTGACGTCAATTCCCCAAGGTGATGCTTTCGAACATCTACTAGCTCATTAAGTTTGTCAAGGTGAAATTCAATAGAATGATGGACGTCAAATGCCATATCTGCTGCTTCTTTTACTAATTCCAACTCTTCTTCAAGTTCTGAAGTTTTTGCTTTAACCTCCTCCATGAGCAGTTGCTCCTGATTTTGCACTTTTTCAGTCGAATGATTCCCGCTAAATACATTAGTTTGTCTGTCCTTGTTGAATCTTCCTGTGCTAGAGGTGCGCACATCATTAACGCTTATTTCAGGTACTTCACTCTTCAATGTGAGTTTGTCCAACTTGACTCGAACTTTGTCACGACTAAGATCTGGTTCCTTGTCACCAGTTGTTTGGTCCTCCAAATTGCTTCCAGAGCTACCTTCTTTCTCTTTCCTTTCATCATTGACACCCTCTGGACCAGCTTTTCCGCCAACTTCAGAAGAATCTGAAAGCCTCTCCACCAAGAACCTTATCAACTTGTACGAGCCCTCTTCAGATGGATACAAGAACTGCCGTAAGCAACACATATAGTCTGTTTCTAAGCACAATTTCAGAACAATAAGAATGACAAGAACTACACTCAGAAGCAAAAGAAACGCGCACAGAGAGAAATTTTAAATCAAATTATAAGCAATCTCATACAATTCAAAGATTCAATTGAATACACTGGAAGTTTGTCCGTCACCATACAAATAAACCCAGACAGTTTGAAACCGCATGTTCAATCCAGACTTCACACAATCAAAACGGTCCTAAATGACAGTCTGGCGACATTATAGTTTATATACACATCAAAGATAGTACAAGGTGAGCAAACATCCCGCGCCAGACCCTGGTATACATATATAGTTCAGTGTCACGCAATTTGTAATTTTTTCAGGACTCTTAACAAATAAACCCCTCAAAACACCAAATTATAGTCACTAACACATCAAACGCCATTTCGAAGAAAACAAAATCTCCCATGGACCTAACTATTCTTAATTTACCGACTATTATTGCACGCAACAGTCGCAGTTGACAGGTCAGGGGCTTTTTCTCCCTAAAGTTTGATTCCCGAATTGTTTCTCACTAACATTAATAGCCAGGGACTACACTAATCAAGCTTAACTTTGATTTAGTAAGAAAAGCTTTCTCCTTGAAACAAAAAGAAACTAAATTTCATAGTTATTTTGCAACAGGACGTAAATTATATACTTCTAGTTCCATAAACCCAATTCAATTTAGTATCAGAAAAACTGAAAGGCGTTGCCTTTTCTTATTTTCTATTAGTTTTTCTCTCACATTCTCGCATTTTCTCGGGAAACAAACACCAAACACGTAATCCAGAAATCGTAACTTGGAAAGCAAACGTTACGATTCTTACCTGATGGAAGCTCAGGTCGGCGAGGTAACCGAGGCTTTTGATCCCGGAGGCAATGTCCGTACAGAGCTTGAACTGGTCGGCGACGGAGGAGTCGGGGAGGGAAGTGGGAAACGGCGTCGTTTGGCCGATGAGGTTGAGAGACTGGCCGCAGATCGAGACCAAGGCCGCCAGCGTCATGTCCTTAACAGACGACACGTCGTCCGGGACACATACGCCGGAGCTCTCCAACGACTTCAGCAGTATTTCCCGCGAATCTTGCATTGCCGATTGATGGAATTGAAGAGATTTTCTGCGAGTTTTGGATTTTCAGTGTAGAGTGGCGGTTGTTTGACTTCTTTGTTCTGTTCGTTTTGCCGGAAAGAGTTTGATTCGACGTCGTTGCTTGAGCAACTTTTTTTTTTATGATATTTAGTCCAAATTACATCTCATTCCAGTAAAACGATAACATTAGTTGATTAAATAGTTAGTTGTTAGAAGAAGAGAGTAGATCAAACTCGTATTATGGTGCATAGACATAATTGTTTTCTGTCACTGTGATATAACGCCAAAATATATCACCAGCATGCCTCATGCACGGGGGTTCGAATTTTCGTTTTTGCAATATAGATGAGTTAGTGTAGAATATCACTTGCATAAGATGGGGGTTCGAATTTCCATTCTTGTAATATAGATGAGTCAGTGTAGAATATCACTTGCATAAGACGAGCAAGAAACCGGCCAAAATATTTGAACCAGCTGAGCGGTTTGATTTGGTTTTAACACAAAAAAGAGGGTAATCTTAGACCGAATTGAACCAAACCGTACCTTGTTTCGTCGAAGCAATTAAGTAAACATAACAGATATATAAACAATCGCATTTCCAAATCCGAAACATTCATAAACAGGTAACATTCAATCTCAAGATCCAGCTTACATCTTTACTGCATTCAATTCCAACATTACAGTAGATACAACTGTTAAAGACGAAAAGTTTCTTTGGTCTTCGATGATGAAAAGTTTCTTTGGTCTTCGATACTTCAGGGTCACGTCTCATGAGAGCGATTTATGTTAAGATGTTACTTCATGTATTTCTGGAGGAATTTGCGGTGAAAGTCGCTCCTGACTGTGTCATTGATGAAGCGCTTAGGAGTCTTGGTTTCACCACGGGCCTGATTCTTGAACACCACATCGTCATCCCATCTGAGCCATAAGATCCACAAAGACGAGAGCTATTAGAAAAAGTGACCCAAGGGAGCCATTGGAAAATCGTAACTTGATCACAGAACAAGCTAGGAGTAAAATCGCGACTAACCTTCTTTTCACACTAAACGATGTGGGTGCTGCACCATTAAGCAATGGGTTTCCTCGGAGAAGCTCTGCTTCCTTGACTTTAAGCTCTTCCTCCCTCTCTAGTCTTTCCTGTGGAAAGCATAAAGTACATTTTTGTTATACTCAGCGATATCTAAGCAATTGATAATCTTAAATATTCTGTCACATCACTTCGTTGAAAGCTCACCTTCCGTAACTTTTCCTCTGCTTTTTCCTTCTTTATTTGTTCAAGCTCGGCCAATAGAGCTTCCATGTCATCCTCCTCGTCATCGTCATCTTCACCACTATAATCAAAGTAAATGTTCCAAATATATGAGGAAAACACGTAGTAATATCATTACACCGCAAGAAATGGATTGAACCATGCAAGCAAAGAAAACATTACTATCGACAAATGAAAGGCTAATTAATAGTCTGTCATAGCTATTTTTGATTTGCAGATATTGTTACAGTTTCAAATGGAAAGCCGGGAAACAAGAAGTTCATAACTACGCAAACCAATCCCCACCATAAATGTTTATATTATCTACTGAGAAATATCCAAAATAAACTGTAAGCAGACAAGTCACGAGTGATTGTAAACAAAGAAATTATGTGCATTTGTTTACATGTTGAAAGTTAAGCAAATAAAGCCCACAGCAACCATGAAAAGAACTAGAACACATAAATGTTCATCTAGTCAATACATAAGCAATTCTTCTTGGTCACAAAACCATATATCCAAGCATGTCTTGCATCAAAATATTTGATAGAACTTTAATACTTCAACATCAAAGCTATGCTGGGAATTCACTGGAACTATTTATAGTTATACATTTGGATTCAAGTGTATATGCAAAGAATACCAACCTTTCATCATCACTTTGGGCTTCCACGTCAGAATCATCAGCATCTATATTACGTGGCACAATTTCAGTGTCCCTTCTGCCCCCTATGAGCACAAATATTTTATGTAGTTAGTAAATTTAGCGATTACTTATTTATGAACTTGCTGCCTTAAAAATGTAAAATATAAGAGCTAGAATATACACCTTCCAATAACAGCTGGTTACCCCTCCTGCGATCTCTGTCATCTGCACAATGCACATATCAATTAGAAACAATGAAGAGATAACATCACATCCCCTATAGAGTCAAGATATCAAAAAAAATACAATAAAAACTAGTCAACTCGCCCCCAAGTGCTTGTAAAAAATGTGAGGAAGATATCATACAACTATAAGATTTATCCTTTGATGAATAATGCTTCCTTTCGCTCTCTTCCAGTTCCTCCCGGAGGTTCTTCTTCTGCAACTCATCCTGGGTGTCCTGCCCTGGCTTTCTGTTAGACACGCATGCCAAGAAAGGCAAAGTCCAAAATTAGAATCCCGGGAAAACGCACTCACATATTACCAGAACCAGAAAGATACACAGAATACTGGAAATTTGGAGGGGAAAAAGAAGTATTAACATATGCAGAGTTGCATTTGTTAATCATGGATTTTAGACTTGTACGTCATGCACTCTAAAAAGTTTAACAAGCATCAAAATCAGTAACTGACAAAGATCTACCTCGGTTTTAAAGATGTATGGGCAGCCATGTCCCTTGATGAGTATTTCTGTGACGGGCCAAAAATCCGAGTACCACCTTGTTCATTACCACCTTTAGCAGGTGCCCACGTGGGTCTAGCTGCTGTCGTCATGTCTTCTAACTGTCTTTACAACACCTGACAACCAAACAATAAGCACAATATCCATAAATCATCCACAAGCCTGCAATGACTACATATATTTGCAAAATGCTCATCATATACATCTGAGTGCAATGAGCACATCAAAATACAATGACGATGTACGTATACATAAATGGGAAAGAGTGTTGAAATTCAAGTTTATTTCCTATCAAATGAAAAACACACACCAATCCGACAGTAGTGTTCTTTTCCTAGTGGTGGCACGACAAACACGAAGCCGAGGAGGCGGAAAGATTCTAGCAAAACACCCAATAAAAATCAAGCCCAATTTCAAGTTAATGCAACCCAAAATTTCAATTTCTCTTCGTATCCATGCGTTTTCCAGCAACCAATCAAACAAATTCATGAAAGATTATATAAAGTAAACAGATGAGTAACAATCCTCTCTTAATTTCCCCAATTCTTCTAACAAAATTTTGAATTTCTATCGGTTTTTTCTCAGCATCCAAACGTAAACCTAAACAATATTGGGATTTGTTCCTAGAAATCAATAACTATAAAAGTACAAAAACTGGCACGAACAAAAGATTGAATATATGGGTAAATAATTGAATTCGAGTTCCTATTGATTGGAAATTAGGGTTTTACCTGGTTCAAAATTGTTCTTCGATTGACTCAGACCAGAGAGAAGCGAGCCGCTTCCGAACAAAAGAGGAAGGAAGAAGAGATAGGAAACGAACCGTTTTGTAGTTTGTAAACATATCTATATATACAAGGGGAGAAAGCAAAAATGGTGAAACATTCATAACCCCAAAATTGCCCTCTCCCATTAAAATTTCAAATAAAATAAGAAATATTCAAAAAAAAAAAAAAAAAAAAAAAAACCAACTCCAGTAACTAACTTTATTTAAAAAAATATATATATATATTATTATTTTGTTTTTTCAGCCAATTGTCATATACGTACGCGTATGGTAAGAGATTAGTAAGAAAGAATGGCAGCGCTGTCGGGTTAGGGCCCCGACTTGGTTTTATTTGGGTTGGACCATATCGGTTTTCTCTATTTTTTGAAACACTGTCTAAAAGTTGGTGAAGCAATTTTTCAATAAGTTAGAAACGTAGCTCAACAAATCAAGTTTAATAATACAATTGATTGAAAAATAAATTTCTTCAAAATTTCAATAAATTGTATTATCACATTTATTGTATTGATCGTGTTTCCGGCACTAAAAAATTTTCTCAATCAAGTAGAGTTCTAAGTGAAATTAAGAATAGGAGAGCCTCGAGTACAAGTGAAGAGGGTCGATGCATCGTTTTACAGTCGCATGCAATAAGTTTTTAGTAGAAACCCCAGTCCGCTTTTCTTTTTGCATTTATTTTTCTTTTGTGAGCACCAAGCCAAGAAGAAAATAAAGAAGAAGCTAAGACCATGCCAAACCAAATAAAAGTAGTTAACTCTTATGAGGAGTATTCTACCAGTATATAGAAAGACTTGAAATCAACCGTATGGACGGTTTATCATGAAATATGTTATTTAGTACCTACATTATTGATCTATTTGTTATATTTGCAGAAGTGATCTTCAAATGAAGATTAAGAAATTGAACGATTCCGACTACTTTTTGGATAATGATTGCATTCTCTCCTTAGGATGAGCTCACTCCACCACCTTCAAATAACGTATCTTTCTTGTACATATTTCATAATCAGAACTGTCCACTTTCTTCATCTACATTAAAAGATCATTCTTACAAAAATAATCTTCCAAATTGGAGTTCATTTAGTCATGCACGATGTATCATATACGTCATAGGTGTAAGTACTAAGTAATGAAATTTCTTCAGGTGTTCTCGGGCCTTTGATCATACAAGTCTTTTTGTACACTGTTAATGTGACATCTTTCAATCTCTCTGTCGTTCTCCTTCTGCTCTCCCCAGTGAGAAAAAACAAAAAGACTCCGACCTGCATGAGATATGGAGATAATGCTCTAAATCCAAGCAAGAGCCTGCAAGGAGGATTGTTGCTTCGAAATTCGATCATCTCTGCGTAAGTTTTGATCCCCTACATAGACTTATACGACCCTGTCTGAATGTTCTCTCATATCTTCTTCTTTTCACTTACATACATATACATGTGTGTGTGTGTATTTACATATATATATATATATATATATATATATATATATATGATGTTTATCAGAAGCAGTGTGAAGAAGTGTTGCATAAACAAAGCACAGTAAAATTAGTGGTGACCTCGAATTCTCGTGTTTGGTTGTAAAAGTTTCCGTGGTTGCTACATGAAAAGCAGATGAACTGACCTAAGATGGCAGCAAATAATGGGAGGAGGAATTAATATGAAGCGCTAGCATCCTCCTCAAGGGAGACTTCAGCAGCAATCTCCGTTGCGA